GCTCTGGCCAAGCTCTTGAAACTCGAGATTGACCCTCGTTTTAATTGTCGAAACCATATTCTGGCCGACCCGTTTAAAGTAGTCGAGAATACTCGGCACCTGACCGCTTCTGACACTCCGTAGATATCCATCCATTCCCGATRAGCATCTAGATGGTCCACTGGGTCGGTCGTCCCGTCGAATTGTTTTACCGTGGGCAGCTTGAATTTTGGAGGGACCTTCTCTCTCATGATCTCCTCCGTGAATGGTGAGTCGGCTTGATCYAGTAGTTCTTCRAGGTCGAATCCCTTCTTTTTTTTGTTAYKTCGYTTCTCCGAGGACTCTGGCCGATCTGCCGGTTTGCCTTTGTCGMGACTTGTCGGCTCAGAGTTTCTGTCATCATGGTCGCTCTTGCCCCCATTTGATGTCGGGGGTTTATGTTGCTTTTTCATCTTTTGGGAGTCGAAAATCCGGGTTCGTCGCCTGGTATTTCCACCTATCCGCAACTTACTTCCTGCACTGTTTGTTGACTCCTCAGTCTTGCTTTGCGCTGGGCCCTTTCCCTTTCTCAGGTCTCTGACAAGGGGCACTTCGTCGGACTCTTGTCGCTCGAATTGTCGAAGGACTTGGGTCATGAGTTGAAGCATGCCCTCTACCTTGTCTTCCAAGACCGCGAACTGCTTTTGGAGCGGCTCAGGGGTCGTTAGTGCATGCGCCTCGGGCAACCATTCATGACGTTCTAGGCTTGGCTGGCTGGTCCCATCCTCGGGTCCTCCAACTTGGGGGTCGTCCAAGTTCAGCCTCCTCTTGGCAGAGCAGTTATCATCAGAGTGTCGTGGACTCCTTTCTGGTGTCATGTTGCTCAACTGGATGCTTTAAATCGTTCCCACAGACGGCGCCAATTGTTGATGCGTGGATTTCGGTCCTCCGGTCCTTCTCCTCGCACCCACCAAACTTGTTGATCCGGGACTAGTACCTGCAAAACCAAATCGAGCTAAACTGGTGTGACTCTAGTCACACGGGCTCCGATGCTTAACAGTTGTTGTTTTGGCTGGCTAGAATTTTTAGGGGTGTAAATTAGTCGGGTCGGTTTTCCTACAAAATCGAACCGACCCGAAGTCGGTTTCACGGTGGGTCGAGCAATTTGCATCGGGTTGGGTCGTCTTTTTTTTTTAATTATCAAAATCGAGATGGGATTAGTGTCGAAATTTAAATTATATAAAATTGAAATTCAATGGGATTAAATTTTGTTTCTTTCCGTCTCGAAACGTTCCTTCTCAAATTGAGAGAAATCGAGAGAAATTCTGAATTTCTGCTATATTTATGTTGATAGTCAATTTTAATCTGTAACTTTTTATTTTATCTATTTAATTAATTTTTATATTTAAATAAGTAGTGTAATTTATACAATCAATTAGCTAGGTTTAAAAAAATTTTGTGGCTAATCATAAATATTACTCTTATGGATAAAATACTATTTTTTTTGCGAGTATTCGTTTTCTAATTGTGTTGAATGCTTTTAATTAGACTTAAATTTGTGGTTGAGTTTCAATATTTTTCATGATTTCCTTTAATTCCACACATGTGAGGATAAATGATCGAACTTCCAGTCTAATTAGCCATCAAGTCATACTTGAGTTGATACTATTTTCATGATTGAGTTTGGTTATTTTTTTTTATATCATTTTGGAAACTTTATTAGTTGGATTATGTATGATTATTGGTTGATATATTTTTTTTATTGAAAACATATTAATTGCATCAATACCAAAAGGAGCATAGCTCAACGATAAGATAATTGGCATATATCTCAAACTAAGAGACTGTGAGTTCGATCCCCCACTCCTACATGTTGTATTAAAAATAATTGTATCAATGATTCAAACTATTATTTAATTTGATAAAATTAAAAGCGTGTAGTTAAAATTTGTTTGGAGGTGAAACTACGATACGCCACGTGGGCTGAAAACTATGCTCCACAATCGATCTAATGGTGCCGACCTGCGGAGCTCGATGGAAGACACTTGAAGTTTCAAGCAAGATAAGGATACCTTAGCTTGACAAGCTCGAGTGGATGAATCCAACGGCCTAAAAATACAGTTCAAAATAATTCAACAATTTAGTGACAAATTAATAGCTGCTGTAACGAAAAGATTCCGACCTAATCCTTATAAATACGCAATTACGACACCCAATCAAGTATGTAATTGTGTTTGGAACGGATCTAAGGATTTAGAAATTTGACTAACTAGCATCATAGTGTTTGTCGCTCCACTCAATTCGACTAGTCACTCAGACGTATCTCAAACCTTATAGAATTCAGCATAAACAAAATTGAACCTTTTGAAATTGATCATTTTTTTTAATATAAATGAATTCACTAAACTTCCAACAATGTTTGGTTGTGCAAATTAATATTGGCTAGCATAGGATTGGGGCCAACGTTCATTTACTTTCTCTTCACTTTCCCCAATTAATTATATTTACTTTTTAACCTAAAAAATGTACCTTCATATAGCACAACTATTTAGTTAGGTTTTATTCATCAAAATTATTAAAACTAAAAAAAATAAAATAAAAAATAGTAATAAGAAACCCCCTAAATTAGATATTCGTGAAAAATTAATAATTTTATTTGATCGAAAAAGAAAAAAATTAAGAGTGCATCCCCAAATGTTTGATCGCTGATCGCCATTCCCAGCCCACAAACAAACAAAGCTCCAATTGCATCAGAAGGATTAAGAAAGAAGAAAAAAAAGGAGACGAAAAATCGAAGGCAAAAAAGATTTCATTTTTATTTCAAAAAGAAAAATCTAGAAGAACAGAAGGTAAAGCAAAAACTATTGCAGGTGGCATTGAAAACGTGAAATCCCAGCAGTGGGCCGACGTGTGGTCACCCGCGCGGACCTGGTGAAGCCAAAAATCCTCCAATTCTTGCCATTTTTCCCCTCTTCAGATTGTAAGACCCTCAATTCTGATACCCAATTTGGCTTCAGATCAACCCCTTTGGATTTGCAGACGAAGATCGGCTGAATTGAGGAGCTGCAATTTTTTATTCCCACGAATCTGATTAGGCTTGCGTGGTGAGACTGCTTGGAGGATAAGGCAAGCATTGACTGAGGTTTTTCCCCCCTAAAGAACTTCGCATTTCTTTGGGTTTCTGGGATTCGGATCGGGGGATTGTTTCGAGTGGATCGGGTTTGAAGCGCTTGTTCGGTGTGGAGTTGGTGATTTAATTGGTCAATATGGATTCGAGTCGGAGAGCTGTAGAGTCGTACTGGAGGTCGCGGATGATTGATACGGCGACCTCGGATGAGGACAAGGTCACGCCGGTGTACAAATTGGAAGAGATTTGTGAAGTGTTGAGATCTTCGCATGTCAGTATTGTCAAGGAGTTCTCGGAGTTTATCTGGAAGAGGCTTGAACATAAGAGCCCGATTGTCAAACAGAAGGTGTTTATATCTTTTTCTTGCTTGTTCTGATTCCTCTCGTTTTAATTTGGGACTTAATTGGTTTAGGACTATAGGTTTTCTGTTCTCTGATGCTTTGGTGGTCTTAGAAAGCACGGCAAAGTCAAGTAATTCACTTTTGGGTTATGTTGTCGAGCTTCCTACTTCGAGAATTTGGTTTGATCTTAGTTCGGGATTGGTTCGGTTTTGATTTTGTTCAGCTGTTGATAGAATAATCAGTAATGAACACAAGATTCACCCACATCCATTATCCCTTTTTTACCTGTGTTCTTTCGAAACTCAGAATTTTTGATCGTGTAATCTGTAGTTTTCGTTAATTGTTATTTGCTTGGTCTGTTTTGTTTTCCTTGTCCCTTTTATGATATACCATTGTAGACTGGGAAACACGATTAGATCTTGGAATTGTTTCAGTTCAATGATTGCTTTGAATTTTTCGATAATTTATTAGATAGCTGACGTGTGCTACAGTTTTGAAAACATTCCATGAGTTCCAGTCTGTGGTTTAATTTTGAAAAATTTGGATTTGTGCTTGATTTTACCACAGGCTCTTAGGTTGATAAAGTATGCAGTTGGAAAATCTGGTGTGGAATTCAGAAGGGAAATGCAGAGACACTCCGTGGCTGTCCGCCAGTTATTTCATTACAAGGGACAATTGGACCCCCTTAAAGGTGATGCACTTAATAAAGCTGTGAGGGATACTGCTCATGAAGCCATTTCCGCTATCTTTTCTGAAGAGGACAACAAGCCTGCACCATCTGAGAATCTTAACAGTCGAATTCAAGGTTTTGGGAATTCAAATTATGAAGTGCCATCAGAAGATAAGAAGTCATTTCTTAGGGAGGTAGTTGGTCTAGGAAGTGCATCTATAAAGCAAGGACTAAGTAATTTTACACAAGGACATTCGTCAAGAAAGAATGGTGCTAGTAGTCACAGGGGTCCCAACCTTCAGAGGTCATTGACTACTGAAATGGAGTATGATAATAGGTACGAACCAGTTGAATATGGCCGTGAGACTCATGGTAGTTTGGGCACATCAAGGAGTACAACTAGTGGAACTTGGAACCAGGATTCTAGGGTAAGTAAGGTGGAACCTACTAATGGGAGCCTGAGTTCTGGATTTTCAGAGAGCAAAACTCGAGAGGAGAGGTTACTGGATACCATTGCAACATCAGGTGGTGTGCGCTTACAACCAACTCGAGATGCTATTCAGGCATTTTTTGTAGAAGCTGCAAAGTTAGATGCATTGGCGCTGAGCTATGCTCTTGAATCAAAGCTTACATCCCCATCATGGCAGGCATGTTCTTGCTGTTAATATTCTTTTCTATGATATTATATGAGCAAAGCCTGGCTTTCTGTTTTGGATTAAGATAATGAAAGTTGATATTTGCATATTGATTTCAAACTCAATCTGTTTTTCATGAGAGTTTCATTTTTCAGGTTCGTTTCAAAGCTCTCTGCATCCTTGAGTCTATTGTGAGGAAAGATGACGATGATCATTTTTCGATCGTGACATCTTATTTCAGTGAAAATCAAGATGCAGTGATTGGATGTTCTGAATCTCCCCAAGCGTCTCTAAGGGAGAAGGCTAGCAAGGTAAATCATCAGTTTACCTGCAAAAATATAATGTACATGCTTGTTTTGCCATTTTCCTTTTTGTGACTTTCTCCATAAAATGGTACGGGAGGGTTTTTTTTTTTTTTGGTTTAAGAGAAAGATCGCATCAGAATTAACTTTTCCTTCTTACTTTACCCTTTGGAGATTTAAGACTTATTATAACATCATAAATTTTTTTTCTTTTTTTTTTTGCAAAGAATAATATCATAATTTATGTGAGTCGTAGGTACTCCTTTTGTCATTATATTCATAAACCTTCTTATAACAATTTTTGCTGTTACGATGTTGTTTTACTTTGCTTCTATAAGATCTGAATAAGGAAGCGACTGTTTGATGAACTGCTGAGTAAAGCCGTCATTAGGATGCTTTTTCTTGAATACTATATAATTTGTTATGATGTTATTTACTTTGCTTCTATTTTCTCTAAGATTTGGAGGAAGCAACTGCTTGATAGTTGACGCAGTTGCTGAATAAATTCATCATTTGGATGTTTGTCCTTGAATACAGTATAATTTTATTACTATTGCTTGAAAGAAGTATGATGGAGCAGGAAATAATGTAAGCTCAACTTCGAGGTCTTATCCTGAAATTGAATTATAATTTAGTTCCTTGCCTCTTTGGGCAGGTTATCCCTCTTTTAGATGGAGGGAAAGGAGTCCCCCCCATGAATGATTCAGAGAAGTCCCTCCCAAGCAACACCAGTTCCACTATTCAGATGCCAGACTTAATTGACACCAGTGATGCAGATGATTACGGTGGAACAAAAAATTCCCAAGAGGTGGAAAACAGTAAAAATATTAGTATTAATCCGTCGAGTACTCCATTAGTAGACGACTTATTTGGAGATGGCCTGAACACTGTTACTAGCACCAGTGAACTAAAGAATGATGACGACCCCTTTTCAGATGTCTCGTTTCACACTACTGAAACTAGAGAACATACAGATGATCTGTTTTCTGGGATGAATGTTGATAGTAATCATGTTACTAATGAAAATAAAAAGCCGGTCTCGGAGAAGAAAAATGATCCTGGAGGTTTTGATATTTTTGGATCAAGTTCTGAACCTGCATTACAAGAACATGCAAGGAAGGATGTTAATGACTTAATGAGTGGTTTGTCCGTCCATGAAGATGCCTTGAAGAGTAAAGATAAGGAAGATTCTAAGGATTCACTATCTGCATCTTCATTCTCAGTTTCTAGCCAACCCAACCATCAGTATCAGATTCCTCAAGATTCTTTAAATGGCATGTACAGTTCACCAATGGTTGGGGCAAATATGAATGCTACCTTTCTCCCTGGAATGGCTTATCTTCCTCCCAGCACAATGTTCAGTACAGCCTTTTCTTCTCAGCCAATGGGTTATGCTCCCACGGGAAACTTCTTTGCTCAACAACAATTACTATCAGCCATGTCTAATTACCAACAGTTTGGGAACCCCAATCTCCAATCAAGTGGTGGTGGTGCGGTTAATGGAGGAACTGCACCCCTTCCTGACATATTCCATCCAAATCTTCCAACACAAGCGCCTAGCTCCATGATGAATAGTTCAAAGAAAGAAGAGACCAGAGCTTTTGATTTTATCTCGGTAAGTTTAGTTTCATCTAACTCTAAATTTTCCTAACTGTGCATTATGATACTGCTTTAGTTTTTATGGCGATCTTCTGAACGGTGGTTAGAGAAATATGGCAATATATTTAGTGCTAAAACTTTGAGAGTTTAGTGGCCATTGGAGTTAGAACTGAAAAGAGAGAAACATAGAAATGGAAATGAAAGAATTCACCATATCATCAACCATCATGGTTCATGGTTCGGCCTAGTAACCATCATGGGATGATCCAAGTGGTCAATGAAGGCCAATGTAAATAGTAAAGAACTTAGAGGGAATGGATTCAAACCATGGTGGCCACCTATCTAGGATTTAATATCCTACGAGTTTCCTTGTCAACCAAACGTAGTAGGGTCAGGTGGTTGACCCGTGAATAGTCGAGTTGTGCGTAAGCTGGGTCCGGACACACGGATATCAAAACAAAAAAAAAAGGTTCGACTTAATGGTCAATGAGGGTCAATGTAAGTTGTAAAGGACTTAGAGGGGATGAGTTCAAACCATGGTGGCCACCTACCTAGGATTTAATATCCAACGAGTTACTTTGGCAACCAAATGTTGTAGGGTTAGACGTGGTTGTATCAGGTACATGCAAGCTAGCCCAAATACTCACGGATATTAAAAAAAAAAAGAATTCACCCTATCATCTTAGATAACTATTAGATTCGATTGACCCGAATCCACTAATCTTAGCACACAACATTCCTACTCCATAACTAATTAAAATTTATTTAACCATTCTCGCTAGAAGTCCTACCAGATTTAAATTTGAACCTAAAAATCTAATATGAATCAGGATTTCGAGACTCAAAGTCTTAAATATTAAATAAAAAGTTGAATAGGCAAGTGTTGACGCAGTGACAAGATGTTGAGTCAAAAAAAAAAAAAAGTTGAATAGAAGAAAACTAGTGTATCCAGGGGGAGCTAACAGAGTTTCTACATTGAGAAGGATGAAGGTACAAAATAAATCTGCTGAAAAGGAAGTATCCAGAAGAAGCTAACTTCACTTCCAAGAAAAAAGGGAAAAGACCCATCCCTCAAACAGCTATACGAAACTGGAATATTTACAAATATCAAGTTAAGTGAGGCTCAATTATTGAAATCCAAACCTCTGACCCCCCGTGATTGTAATTTCTATAGTTAAGGGAAAAAAAAGACCTTGCTATACTTACACTTCCGACCAAATATATACTGTCCCAGAGAGTAACCAAAATTCTAACCAACCATAGTGTTTTAAATCCCTCTCTAAAAATAGAGGTGAGGCATCTAGCTACTACTCTGGTGAATCCTTTCTTCTATAGCTTGTGGTATTAACTCCTATTGGAATTATATGTTAGTATTTTATTTTGTTAATAATTTTTACTCTACCTACACCTCATATATGCATTGTCCTTTTGCCACAACTTAGTGGGGAGAGATTTTTTATGCATATAACTATTATAGATAGCCACAATTATATCAGACTACATGTTATTAAACAAGAGAAGTATACATTCTAATCCAAAAGAAGAGCTTCTCCTGATTAGAGCCCCTGAAAAATGGAATAACATGTCAACCAATAATCTCTAAGATCAAACCTCAAATTCAAATATGGTGTCACATGCACTATATTTGAGTTTAAGATAGATAGGGGTGCTTTATGGAATAAGTCAAGACTTCGACCACAAAATGCAATTCTCGGTATGTAATAAAAGTAGTAGATTATCCTGCCCAAGGAAGAGACCGAAGTCCTAGATGCTTTCTGGCGATCCATGATCCTCTGAGTGCACCTATAGATGCTTTCTGGCGATCCATGTTACTTGACGATTGTTTCTTTTGGCGCCTTGGTATGCAACAAAAGTGCTGAAGTGCTCAACAATTTGTAATTTTTTTCTTTTGCCTGTGGTTGAGGCTGAGCCCCAAATCTTACTGTCTGAAATTGAATGGTAGTGAAGGGAACAGTGAAGATTTCCTATTTTCATGGATAATCCGATCCTCAGTTCCTGTTTGAATTTTAATAATTCTCTTCATACCAAGTTTGAGATTTCACTGGCTAATGTAAGATGGAAAGTTTGACTTAAAGGAACAGAGGTTGAGGAAGTCAACTTCCATTATAGGGGTATCAAATACTTGCTCTAGATCAATATCATCTCATCTATCTGTAGAAAGCTTTTAAAATACAAGGGGCTAAGGAATCCTATTTTACCAGTAAATTTTTTTCCACTAACTTTCATGCTATCTTGTAGGACCATATTGCGGCAGCTCGGGATCCAAAGCGGGTAGTATGAATTTGGGAGGCTATATCTCACCATTGAGGTTCTTAATAGTCATTGTTGGGTGTTGGGCGAGTTAGAGGTGAGGTGATGAATGGAAACCAAAATTCTGTTCCAGTAGAAACAGATGACGCTCCGATCGCAAACGAGGAATACAATTTGATGCGCCGCATATTATAAATGGTAGGTGATCAAGAACTAGGAAAAATGAGAAAATGGAAAAAGCAGACAATTAAGTTGAAGAAAATTGACAGTTGCTTTTGCATAATCAGCTCTATATTGTGGTAATTCCTGGATTGGTTGCGTTTCTTCCTCAGTTCCAATTTGTAGAGTCTTATTTTGCAAAAAGAAAAAAAAAATGTAGTCTCTCCCCCTAATTTTGTTTGGTTTTTTCGCATGAAATACTTGCAATTTGTAGTGGTAATGGTAATAAAGCAGTTTGTTCTTTATTTTTTAAATGTATCCATCATTCTATTGCATGTGAACTGAATTGCAGCCATGTATATTGCTTTTTTCTCTGTAATCTTCATTTTTCCAGTGGAACTTGCAAGAGTTGGTCCATTTTGAAAGTGAATGTGTATGCATTTTACCATGACATGTATATATATTACTTTTTCTTTCTTTTACAATTTAGGTTCAAATATATTTGGTTTGTGGAACTTGGGCTTTGATTCATTTTGCTCTTTTACTTTCAAAACATTGTAATTTTAATTTTTGTACATTTTAGTCTCCATGCTTTCAAAAAATGGTTTTCTCTACTTATAAAAAGTAATTATTTTGATCTTATTTCTTTCGATTATAATTTTAATATGACACTTCACTTACTAGATTTTTTGAAATGTAGTCTTAAATTTGTATCAAAGAGTTTTCATTGTGTATTTATTGTGTATAAAATTAAACAAAGACTAAATTAGTCTATTTTTTAGATACAAGGATTAAATAGACGTTTTGAAAGTATGACTAAAATGAACAAAAGTCGAGGATAAAAAATCAAGGTTGCGAGGGACATAATTTTAAATTTTAATACAGAGAAGCCATTCTTAGATTGTACATCTCACATAAAATAAAAAGATAAAGAAAAAGGGCAAGAAAGAGAGAGAGATATGATTCCATAAGGTAATTCGAACAAGCTTCAAGACTAATTGAAATATCCAAATAAATTCAATGAGAAAATGAATTTAGGTAAATATATTTGAAACAAAATTTTCTTCTCAAGAAAAATCCCATCGGAGAGATTCAAAACCCACATTATTGATCTAACTACATGTTATTACACTTTGATTCCAAGTTAAGGAAAAAAAGAAAAGAGGAGAAAAAATGGAAAGTATAAAAGAAAAGAATATTGCACTTTTTCCATATGCTTTGCTTTATGGGATAATTGACACAAATATTCTTGGCTGTACTGATTCAAACTAATGTGAGTGATCTGATCCAATCAATACGAAAATACTATAAGATACAAAGTCTTATCCATTATATTATCCAAATCTCTATAGATTTTATGCTAATCATTAGCAAATTTGTTATTTGTGCAAAACATAGTTGTCCCTCTTTTCTTTATAACATTTCTTGGAAAAATACTTCCCCAATCAAATCAATATAAGATGGTATTTGGAAAAACAAAAAATCTTTGAAAGGAGTTGATTGAAGAGTTTCAAAATTTACAGAGTTTAAGTTTAGAACAAATTTTTTCAAGGATGGCAACGAAAAAAGTTTCAAATTTAGGGTAAAAATCATCAGATCCACGGGTCGTTACTTTAATTCATGTTTTAGGTTTAAATTTTGGAGATGACATGCCTTCCAAGTTTTCCTACCAGCTACGCATGTTAGAAAATATTTGATTTATGAACTAGGTTCAAGTAATCGAACTTATGTTTGATACATGAGCATTGCTCTATCTTAGACTACAAGCTACCTAACTCATAGATTATGTAAGCTCCACATTATTTACATATGTCTTTTGCAGGAGTCGAACAATCAACTAAACACATTTATCCAATTTGAGCTAGGTTTAAATTGACAAGTAATTACCTAAAATATATCTTTAGTATATTACAAATTAACCTGTTTAAATTATAAATCCATAAATCAAAATACCATGTAACACAAACTCAAGCTTCTATCATTCATTTCTTTATACAATTGGGTACTTAAAAAACTTAAATTTGTTATTCAAATGAAGAGCTAGACCATTGTAATTCACTCCAATATTGAACACCACTAATATTATTTTAGCTAGCTTTTTAATATTAATATAAAAACAAAAGACAAGCACTACTGGCCAATAGAAAGAATGAAAAGCACCTTTAACTTACACTAAATATTGCTTTGAAAAAAATATGATCAAAGGACAGCAAAAAATAAAAAAAAAAGGAAAAACTTTAGATTATAGATTATTTATTTACTACCAAACAAAGTCTTTGCCAACCTTTTCTAGAAAAAATCAAAGCAAAAAAGAGCCTTCTTTATTTTTTCTTTTCCTTTGCAAAAAACAAAAATAAAAAAAAATCACATATATTATAAATACACAATAAATATATATAAACCTTTATTATTAATTTAATTACCCTCCAATAATTTGTTGCGTAAGAGAAATATTATAAGTAATTGACTGTACTTGTCTTCCAATTATTGATTTTTTTTGTTAATTTGATATTTAATTAATTATTTGTATTTGGTCCTACATGTAACATGTGTTCAACACTTATTGTAACACGAAAAATCTCCATTCTCATTTCTTTGAATTATTTTACTAATTAGAGATGATAATTTATCATTAAATTTACACAAGATAACAAAATGAAAAACAAAAAGTCAAAATGTATCTCACATGAGGTGTATTTTAAAAAATCATATGTAAGTATGTCATTGAGTAGAAATAATCTTATATAAATAAATATATTTTCTAAGCAAATTAACTCTCCCCAAAATCAAATTGCTCAATTAAGGCCATATATTTGATTATTTAGTTCGTTTCTTTTCATTTTGTTTTTTAAGTCACAATCTTATTTGAATTTATTTTAAAAGTAGTTTAAGAGTCTAGGTGAACTTAGCTCAATTGTAATTGATACTTGTGTCTGACTAAAGATGTCATAAGTTTGAATCTCCCCATCCATGTGTTGTATTAAAAAAAATTAGTTTAAGAAATCTTAGCAAAATTTTAAAAATAGAGGTTACTTTTTTTATTTTTTATTTTATAAATTTTGGGTTNAAAAAAGAAAGAAAGAAAGAAAGAAAGAAAACGAATACCAAATGGTTATCAAAATTCAACTTTACCTAAATCACAATTCACATGGAATAATCTCGAATTCACATAATACTAATCTAAAATGATAAGCTGACTAATTAACATTAATTCCTTAACGAGTGTTTGATGCAGAAATTTGGTCTTTTGTGATTCCGCTAAGGCCCCGTTTACTTACTCGCAATCGTACTCAATGAATCGTAATGAGAACTTTGATTACCTTTGGCTTTGATGATGTTTACCAAATTGTAGGAATGTAATCACGATGAGACCTACCTCAAATTTTGTAATCCCATCAATCCCATTCCAATTCTTTATTCCGTGGATCCCACATACATATTATAATTAATGTATTCGTTTTACCCTTTCCCTCCTATGGATTATATCCATATAATTTTTAATTATTTCTTTTATACCTTTATAATTTCTTCTCTATTTATATTCCAATTTTATTATTTGATGTGATTTTATTATATAATATGATAAATTAATATTAATTAATATCAATAAATTTTTTAAATAGATATTATTACTTTTAAATATTAGATTAATAAAACTTTAATAATATGTTATATTAAAGTTTGTTTGTTCTAATAAAAAATATTTTATTTGATGTAATTTTATTTTAATTATTCATTATGTATTAATATTAGATAAATTGTTATAATAAAAAAATATTAACTATCGATAATGTAGTAATAAATTAAATTAAAATTTATTATTATTGTAATTCGAAAAAGATTAACACAATATTATATTTGTAATTAGCTAAAAAGGAGAAAGAGATACATTAGTAATTGTTACATATCTGATCCTGATTCCGATAACAGAAAATTTATGGTAAACAACATCAATGAAATAACATTACGATTTCGATTGATTTCATTACGATTGACTTTCATTACGATTAATTTCCATTACGATAGTAAACGTGGCCTAAGTTCGCACCAATCTTTTGGAATAAAAGGGATCGACAATACCTGCAAAACAGAATAGCACTTTGCCACACAGGCTCCGATGCTTAAATCAGAATCGGAGTAGTTGAGTATAAAGTGTTGGGTGTTGTGAGCATATCTTTAGGGTATAGCTTACTCTCGTATTTATAGAGATCGAATCATAATCGCTCTAGGAAGATTTACATAAGTTGAATCCTAATGCACTTAGGAGATCTAAACGAAGTGGGCCTCATGCTGCATTTAGGGCCGAGACCAAGTAGACTCGTATCGGGTTGCACGGGGGTCGGGGCAAATCG